CTTAGCAAGTCAGATTTGGACTTAGCTACCTTAAGCAATACTGTATCTTCTGTAAACTTTGCCATCTTGCTCTTTACCCTCTTTTCCAGGTCCTTTATAAATATGTTGAATGGTGCTGATCACAATACCGATATTTGGGGGGGGTGCAGCTATTACTTCTCTACCCTCTACTTCTCTCCTCTGTAAAAACTGACTCTAGTCCTGTCCTCTGTTTCCTGCCTTTTAACCAATTACTGATCCATGGCAGGACCTATCTCATGACAGCTTACTTTGCTTAGGAGCCTTTAGTGAGGGACCTTCTCAAAGTCTTTCTATCGGATAGGAAAGAAGATTTTTATACACATTTGTAATTATTTTAAAAACAATAAAATGTGTAATAAAGTTTGCACACTGCAGGAGACTGAAACACCTGATTAAAAATACACAAAAGTCATCTATGGAACTACCAAGTCATACAACTTCTCCGCAAATTGTCTAGGTTGGACATGACACCATTCTATCACTAAAACTAGCTGAGATACAATGCTGTATTGTAGAATTCTATTCTGCGGTGCATGGGTAACAACATAAGTAAACAATGAAAACTGAGAACTATGCATGCACAAAAGCATTTTTGGGATAATTTGTTATGGTACTTTCAAACAAGCCCCCTCTGACATTTTAAAGTTCAGCCATTTCTGAGTTATATATGTGCAGAAAAGTAGTAATTATTTTAAAGGGGAAAAACATATTTTTCCTATTTGTATAATTCAAAGAGGCTTAATGAACAAAAGCCAAAACTATACCAGTCCTCAAATAATCTTTTGGCTGAGACCTAGGATGCAAAATTTTAGACTTCATCAAATCTATATCAATGCATTTCAGTTGGCTTTAAAAAAAAATCTACATGTTCTTGGTATGTGATTTTCAAAGCCAGATAATTTGGGTAAATCAAAGCCAATTTCCTTCAGTACCAGAAATACACTATTTCTCCTCAAGAAGGATTATCAGCCAGTCAGATTTCTACACCCAGAGATTTTAGCAGTAGACCTGCTCTAAAAGAGGTTGTCAAAATATGCATGTTAGGAAAAGTGTATTATTTCCATTCTCAAACAGCTAACCTGTTTTTCCCCCATCAGTTTCTTTTAAATCAACTTTGGGCAGATACCAATGCTAAACAATTTAAATCTGAAAACTTTGCAAAGTTATCAGAGAACAAAAATAGAAACCTAAATTAAACATGTCAATTCTGAACCTGCTGTAATCACAATAATGAATCACATCCTGAGATGGGGTAAATAAACACAGCTACACTGACTTCGATTGAGCTATCCTGATTTACAATAGACTCAGGACACAGCTGGTGTAGCCATGCCAAAAGAGAACAGTCAGTAAGTCTGCTGCACAATTACTAATTAATATCAAGCAAAAACATGCTGCATAAAAACTGTTATCATTCATTCAAGGATAAGATATTATCTTCAAGTACCCTCAAATTATTCTAGCAGAACCGATAGCTCTTGCTAGAATTAAAGTAAGCTTTATAACCCTCTTTTCCGTTGTTCACACCAATCTGAAAAATATTCCTTGGGGCAAAGGTTTTCTCTGTGTGGTCTCAGCTCAGATTATTTTTTTTATTTTAAATTTATTTTTGAACGTCTGTAATAAATTCAATCATGTTTGAGTTATGGAAAAGTGAAAGAAATGACAGTTGTCCCACTTAAAATGTTTAGATGATTTTCTGCTCACCTGACTCAAACATAAATGAACGATACAATTTATAACATTCAGGGTGCTTCCTTACTACTGATGATTCGGCCCTTTTGTGGTTTAAAAAGCTATAAACAAACAAAAAAATACGGTGAGTTACAAGCTCTTAAGAACTGGATGTCATGCACGTGCAGTAGCATTTGCTGATGCTGGCATGTGTGATATATCTACTGTCACAGCTAGTTGGTATGGTGGAGATATCGCTGCAAAAATGCATTATAGTTGGAAATCTTTGTGCTCCAGCACAGCTTAGAACTGTGGTGTCCAACCAATTCTGAAGCCGCTACTGCTATAGCAAACGAGCCACATTATTCTGAAAATGTAAATAATTTTGTGAGCCAACTAGCCACGCTCCACCAGCCAAACAGCCACATGTGGCTAGTGTGTTGGACACCATGGACTTAGAACCTGCACAGGAAGCAAAGTCGTCTTGCTTTTGCAGGGCTTCTAAGCTTACCACAAAGGAATCTTTCAGCTACTTTAACTTCATCATGTCCCCTCCTCTGCCCTGTTAGTCTTCGCACTTGAAAAAGGATGGAAGAGAAATCTGTTATCTGCACTTCTGCGCCTGTGAAGATGTGTTTACACTCAGGGCAGGAATTTTACAAGGCTTTGCTCTCAGACACAAGCACTTGAACAAAAGCCCCAGGAACACTCGGAACTCACAAACTGCCAGGACCTCATTCCCTACAACTGTCCGACCATTTCAGAATTATACAGGGAAGGCTCTTCTGTGTAGGTAAATGCCAAATTCTCAAATAGGAAACAAACCATTCCCAGGAGGAACAAATCATCCTGTTTAAAGGGCAACATGCCACTTCCCAAATAGAACCTTCCACCCCACAAACGGGGAAGGCAGTGGAGGTGGATAAAGACAGAAAGTTCATGAAAGTTCTTCTAAAAGCCAGGATTACCCCCAAAAAAGTCATTTTCCAATTTTTTTTAGAGACATCAGCACAAGGGTTCTGGCTCATGGAGATGAACCATTCAAAATAGTGGTTTTGAAAGAGAAAAAGAAACAGTAAGTGAAGCATCAGGCAGTAGAACTAGTAAAAAGACAAGCCCAATCGGCAACGAAAGTGGGGCAAAACATCTGCCAACTGCTATAGATATAGAGACTCCACTGGATGTATCCTCCATAATACAAAAGCCAACTCCTCTATAAGAAACATCCCAAAAAGGAACCAAACTCAAAGAAGCCAGAGAGTCCATGAGGCACCGCTGAATGATGATATTCCTCCCACAAGCCTTTCCTGGAAATAATAACCCTATGTAAAGTGGTGTGCACTGTACGAGTGTTTTCAATTTTGTATTCTGAACTGGAACAGATCTGAGGGCTAGTTGGCCTGTCTCTGAGTCAGAAGCTTGAGGTACTGAAAGAAGGCTTCCTCCCCGATTACTGTCAGGAGGAAGTGACTACAAGATTCCAGGAGTGAGCTACTGGCAGATGCAACGTGCACGAAGGAGGGAGGGGTAGAGCTGGAGAAAAATTTCAATGAACTATTTTTTTTTCAAAACACAGTTTCATTAATTCATGCAGTTTTAACAAACGATTTAGAAAAAAGAAATCAAACATTGACCCTTTCAACATTTTAAAATGAAATATTTTGATTTTTTGCTGTAAAATGACTTTTCATTTAGAAGAGGCCAGTGATTGTATTAAAAAGTCAAGTGTTTAAAATGCTCAAAATCAAAATGAAATGCTTTGTTTCACTTGAAACTTGTTGAAAATTTCCAAAATGTTTGTGCACAGTTCAGCCCCAAACAAATGTTTATCACCTTTCTGAAATTGCCAAAGGAAAGCAAAAAGTTAGTTATTTGCCCAGCTCTAGTGGGAGATACTCAAGCACCAGTGCCTTAGAAGGCCAAACAGAGCTGCGGGGACCAGTGTCACCAAAAGGTTTGGGTTTAAGATCTAACTACAGGATGTAAAATTATGAAATTAAAAACTCAGGTGTGAGAAGTGCCAAAGGTAGGGCTGCATCTACAACTTTTCACTGGACCATAAACTCCTAACATGGCCAGCTCATACAGTTAAGAATTACAATATAAGATTTACTTTTTGCCTACAACTTTTGATACATATACACAAGGCTCGACAAATCCGTTTATCTATTCGCCCATGGGCGAGTAGATTTTAGCCGGTTGCCCCATTCACCAGCGGTGCAGGCATGCACAGTGCGGGTCTGGCACATGCGCGGTGCGGGGCTGGCGAGTGGGTTTTCACCGTGATCGTCGAGCCCTGCATATACACATGTAAAGCTTCTTGCAATACATTGCTTTCATTCTTTTATGATTTCACTTAAATCATCCTCATTATTGGAATGGTCCAGTATATTGGGCTCAAGAGATAACATTCTCTCTATATGCTATTACACTTTTTACTGGTTTTTCACTGAGCACGTACTTTAAACGTTCAACCCTCAGATTACTTAAACACGGCCAGACTTTTAGAAAACATTCACACAATATTCACTAAACCAAGCATGAGAAATTTCACACCAGAGGTACATTTTGAAAGTTGCAATTGACTGTAAAAAGGGATTTTGACTGGAAGTGCCATTTCAACTTCCAGCACAAAGATGATAGGGAGACACTACAGTCCACTACAGAAAAATACGAGGAAGGATTTAGCAGCCACTGTTAAAAGAATCTCAGTAAGTATTTAAGTAGTGACAAACAAGAGACTCTTCCATGTGTTACTTGCACAGAATTCCCTTCCTGGAAGATACACAAGGCCTCTGGATAATCTATTTATAATGCACCAATATCTTTAGAGACACGCAACGATTTCTCTTGGCCCGTCATTACCCAATTGATTTTCAGCAAAATAGGAAAGGATTAAAATATACAGATTGCCAGGAGTTTGGGGTGCCATGGACCATCCTTGCTACAGCAACTGGATTGCTGATCTTTTTGGAATGCTGCATCAGAGAGAACAGCCCATGTACAGCAAAGCACCCCCCCCCCACACACACACACACTCAAAATCCCTCCCAGGAAGAAGGCCCTGTAGAAAACCTCACTGATATCTTATTGAACGCAGTAGCTAGCGGGGATGTGCAGAAAGAACACAGCTGGAGGATGGCTTCCCCTTCCCTCCGACTGCAGAAGCATTCATCCCAACAATGGCAAGGTGGTAGCACTTGGTAAGGTGGGCTTCTTACAATGACAGGCAGTAGCAGAAGAGGAATCGCAAAAGCCCAAGTGGTAACCTAGGATTCTCAAAGGTTTGAGCAGGAGAGAGATACCTCTATGCGCTCGCACATGGGTCTGGAAACAGTTGTAATACTTGTATTTCTTCCCACATATTCCACATTCATAAGACCCTGAAAAACAGGACAGAAAAGTATAGATCACCATATTAGATCAACAACAGGCAGATGGCCCCCAACCACAAATGGATAACAGTGCAGCTGTCAGCAAAAGAGGGTTGGGAGGTTTGTGGAGTTAAGTGAAGGGAATTTGTACTTCACTGGCTACCTCTAGATCCTTTTTTGCCGACTAATTGAAGAGTATTTGACATATTTTGCTACATTTACATTACATCGTTGTCATTTTATTAGTTTGGAAGAGCCAAAAATGGCCTGAATTTTAAGTTGACAAAATAATTTTTTTAGTTGTCAGAATAAACCTCGCAAATACCCCCTGTAAGCTTTTTTTAATCTTCATAATTTCTCAAGCAATGTAATTATCTCACAGAGCGATCTGGTAAGTATCTTGCAGGATACCAGATAGATAAAAACTTTAAGACCTTTATAGGGAAAACTCGTTTGAGTGCTGTATTTCTGCCTCTCAGTTTCCTATCTAATCTCAGAAGACAGACATCTACAGTCAGCAGTTGCAGAGACAGCAAAGTTGAGCTGGGAGAATAATCTGCAACAACAAAATTATTTTTCTATGAATTTAGCCTCTTCGGTTCATGGAAAGTTCACAAGCAATTGGAGACACCCTCAAATATATTTATCATTTAGAATTCTTAGATGGCTCTGGATTGGTTGCAAATCATTCTTTGCAATACATATAAGTCATTATTGGTGCTGTATTGGCTAGCTATGATTAATCATGGACTATTGCTTGTGCTCCCTGGTAGAAAGAGCCCATGAGTGGAAGGGAAAACAATACTTTATATGAGTGCATTGTTTGATCGCCACAGCTATCTGAGAATGTGTCTTTTAAATGTTCTTTTCCTGACCATGCAGAGCCAGAAAAACTCATAGAAGTGAGTAAATATAAAAGGAGCCAAAGTGCACACATACACATTCCAATCAATATTCGCCATCTTTTTTTGTTTGTTTGTTTCTATGCTTGCTCAGCTGAGCGATGTCTTTCAAGGGAAAAGCGTCAACCAGTTCTCTGTATTCTTTTGCCTATGTTCTTTCCTTCTCATTCAATGACCCGTCTTCTTTGTCTCTGAACCAACAACATTGTTATGGGAATGTTCTTTGTGTTGGGAAGGGTCTTGGTCACCAACTGGTGCTCAGGGGACATTCACAAGAATACACCACAGTACAGTGTGCTACAGCAGTGTCCGAATAAGATATTTTGGAAACAGTATCGAAAATGCTGTCTCCATTTTCAGAAGGGGAATCACACTTGGATGGAAGTGGATTTGGTTTGCTTCCCTCCCTGTATCTTAGCAAGAGCCATCCCCCCCAAAATATGAAGAGTCAAAGCATAGCAGATTTCAACCAATGAAAAGTAGCCAAATTCCGGGTCTCAACAGGTTGATATACTCCTCTGACATCATTTTGCATATTAAACTATTCATTATACCTGCTCCAAAACCCAAACTCTCTCGTTATACAAGTACTCACAACCAAATAGAGCCAGTCAATGAATATATGCCTCACCACTTAGGTTACAAAGAATAACAATCCATCTGACTGTTAAGCTCCTTCACAACAACAGGAAAACAGGACTGATAACCAATGGCCTACCAGCCAAATAGCCATGGAGATCACGGAGAAAACAAAGAGAGCAAGGGCCTCTTTTCTGATTTTTTTGCCCGGGTATCTTTCTTTTTTATTTCTCCCCGCTCCCCTGGAAATGGTATCTGCCGCAGATAAGTACATTTGGTTGAGCAGCATTCCACAAAGGGGGGAAAAACAGCCCACGTCTGTAACCACGTGTTGCCTTCTAGCAGAAACCTGAAGCTGAACATGCATGTCCATCACGAACACACGAGATTTCTTATCTAAACACGTGTCCATGAATCGGATGCCAAAAGAGGTGACAGGCTGTTAGTGCAAGCTACAGGGCCCATGGCTTGCCAAGGCTGCTGACCCTCTGTTACCCTTTGACTCTTTGCCTTCTCCAGGGCAGATCCCGCTAGTGAAGCAACTTGTGAGGGTCTGAGACGTGGATGCACGGGGCCAAAAGGAAAGCCCCACCAAACTCCTCGTCACCTTAAGGCAGCACTTGGACTCGAAATCTCCAAAAGTGAAAGGCCAGCGCTCTAAATTTACTGTCACTGAGACCCTTTTATTTCTCTCCGTGTATACACGAATGAAGACTCTGAGCTTACACTGTACTGAACCCTAAAAGAGCAGCTTCCAGAAACACCTGGTGCACAGGGCCTGCTTGTTCCATAACGTTAAAGAAGCAGGAGGGCTGACTCAGCACAGACCATCTTTGTGCCGATGTTTTCCTGGACTCCCGGCTAATTTTCCCAGCAGCTGTTTGCTTCACACCCTCAGAGGAGGGTCCATCTAGCCAATTCCTTTGAGCCCTTCAAGGGTAAGGTGAGAAACGTTAAAGCTCCATGCCTTGAAGACGGGACAATGTGTGGCTACAGTCATGGGATGCAAGCAAGTACTCTGTGGAACTGGAGTCCTCCGATTATAACCGAGAAAGCCCAAAAGGAGAGGCCTGTGTTTAGAACAAGAGCCTGTGATACAGTGGCTTTCTGGGGAAGAGGAGGCAGAAACAGCTACGCTCCTCTCCAAAACAAGAGAAAGCAGTAACGAACTGCCCCAATCAATGTGTTATTTAAGGAGGTGGCCAGACAAGATGAAGAGAGACATCTTGCATGCTTGTGGCTTACAAGGAATATGCCTCTGTAGCCTTGGGCACTGTTACTATGGTCATGGGTACATCTTGGGCTATTGGCCATGTCGGGACCTGTCGTGCGGGTTAAAACTGCCTAAAGCATGGAAAAAGATGAAAGTGGGAGGGGAGAGGTGTGGTTAATGGGTGCGCAAGACTTCGTTAGATTTTTTTTCCCCCCTGAGTCTTGTGTTTGGAACTCGTGCAACACGTCAGTTGCATCTAGAGCATCCCCTTGCTCTGTGATCCCTGGTTAAACTGCCACACCCTTCCACATACCGGAGGTGTATCTCAATGCATGGTCAAAAATCCAGGTGCCCGAATATCGAGTTCGTGTATATCCAGCGGGAGAGCTGTGTTCCACTGCTTTTCCATCTAAATTGCACAAAAAGAAAATCAGACAAGAGCCCTTAAAGTGGATGAATTTCCAAAAGATAACGAGGGTTGAAACCAAGTAAAAATGTCACACACTTGAGCCATGCCGTGTGCTTATGCCAAGATGTTAAAGGTCACACTGCATTTTCTAAAGGTTTGTGCACCACTGTTTAATTCAGAATAAATATTGGAAGCCCCAAAGTAGCTTAGCAGGTGATGGATCTGCCTCTTAGACTGAATTAAATCTAATTAGTTTGAGAGTCTCGGATCAGACAGGATCACTATCACAAGCCTCACCTCCTCGAACAGTTACAACCCCACCACTTCACTTGACAAGTCTTCTTCAGGAAGTTCTGATGGCGTTTCACTGCCCTGCTGTGCTCATTTAAACTGAGTCTCATGCACAATTCCTCCTGACCAAACCCCAGACGATAAAATCCCCAAATCCAAATACTGGAATGAGCCAATCCCCAATGTTACAAGACAGACATTGGGCCACTCACAAAATCCCATCCAGTCTCAGTTCCCCATTCTCTCACCTTCCCGAGCCATTTCTGCTCGTTGGCTCCCAGGTAGATTTTTAAGGGAACGTCTGCCTGCCTCCCAAGCTATGCCCTTCCAAGAAACAGCAGCGCTGGAGCTATTCGGACAGCCTGGGGCTCGAAGGCAGCAGGTGAGGTCACCAGTAAAATGACAGTTTCTAACAGCGTGTAGTTCAGAAATAACAGACGGTATCATCAGGATATTCCTTAGGCCTGCCTGCCAAGATTTAGAGAACAGAGGGACTGAGGTTGCCAGAATTTTGTCATCGACCAAAGCTGCTGCCAATTGTTCTGTAAACTCTGATTGCTTGTGATGCCCAAATGGCAAGACAACGCCCAAGAGAAGGTGCAAGTGTTCTTTGGGAATGAAGAGCTCCTAACAGAGATGGACCAGCATAGGTATGTCAACAAGCTCGAGGGACCACTGCATGCATCACACTGAACTGTATTCACTTTCAACAAAGTGGAGGACCACAAAAAATGATGCAGGGGCTGGAGCACATGACCTACAAGGAGCGGCTGAGGGACTTGGTCTTGTTTAGTCTGCAGAAGAGAAGAGTGAGGGGGGATTTGAGAGCAGCCTTCAAATACCCAAAGGAGGAGTTCCAAAGAAGATGGAGAGAGGCTGTTCTCAGTAGTGACGGATGGCAGAATGAGGAGCAATGGTCGCAAGTTGCAGTGGGGAAGGTACAGGTTGGATATTAAAAAATACTATTTCACCAGGAGGGTGGGGAATCACTGGAATGGGTTCCTTAGGGAGGAGGTGGACTCTCCATCCCTAGAGGCGTTTAAGTCCCGGCTTGACGAAGCCCTGGCTGGGATGATTTTGTTGGGATTGGTCTTGCTTTTAAGCAGGGGTTGGACTTGATGACTCCTCAGGTCTCTTGCCACAGAGTTTGGAGCAGGCCAGACTTCCAGAGAGAGGTAACTGAATAAGAGAACTGAGAACCGCTGATCTAGGTATCTGCCTTAAACAGTGCAGAGCTAATAACAACAGAAAGGGGACATCCTGGCTGAGGCTGAGCAAGCTGATGGGCGACCTCTGTCTCAGACAAGGAGCCAAGTCGCCTTATCCAGATTTTCCAGTCACCTCCGGAGTCAGAACTCTGTCTTATGAAGAAGGCTCCTTGTCACCGTGGAGCCTTCATCTGCTTTGTCACCACCAGTGTCACGGTCGCTGAGGGACATGCAGCAGTTCTGATCTGAACAATCCATTTCCTGATGAACGGACAATGCTGCTCTCATGGAAAGTGATACCGTGTGAGGCTGGCGGAAAGGATCCCACATTCCCTCCCTCTCACTGCTCCTTTACTCCTCCACCCCTGACCAATTACCCCTTCAGAGAGCCCACATCTCAATGAAGAAGAGTAAAACCCGCCCTGCTTTGCCTTCACTGCTGAAGCAACCAAAACAACGGGCCCCTGGTTCCACTCACAGTCAAGCGTTCAGAAGGCAACTCTCGCAGAGAACTCCTCAACTGGCGGCAGACAACACGAGGCCTTTCCTTACCAACCCGCCTAAGCCTTGCTAACCCCAAACGAAGCCCAGCAGCAAAATACCGCCAGTGCTCAACTTGCAGAGATGATGTTGGCAGCTGTGGGATTACTGCCGGGTTGTGGTTTTGAAGGGCAGTAATGGTGAATGGTGGAGCCCCGGCACTGAGGGAGAAACTGTTTGAAAAGCCACAAGATGCTGATCCAGGCCCTTCTGTTTCCTCAGGGCGCAGCAGGCGGGGGTCACACAGAAAAGGTATTCAGCGTGCCACCTCCCTGGCGAGGAGGGGCAACGCGAGTGGCCCGACGGGTGGGTACACTCCAAGGACAATGGAATCAGCTGCTCGCAGCCAATGGCTTCGGGATCAAGGCGGCTTTAATGAAAACCAGCAGCTAGGATATAAAATAAAATTAAAAAACCACCGCGATGCTCAATTCATTTCAAGGGGGCACTACTGGCTGGGAGAATTTTCCCGGTGCCTTTTTCAGTTCACTCTGTATTGCTTCAAACCTGTTAATACCATCTCCTCCCCCGCCCACAACATAACCTCTCCCGACCTGTAACACCGCGTCGCGTCCCCTCCCCTCCCCAGGGCTGGGGTCCAGACATGGCATTCTGATGCAAGTTCAGCATATGCCAACATGGCTGCCCTCTGTCCATTTCTACAGGGCTACTGTCCCTGTCATCTGGGGAAGGGCTCTGTGGGAACGGAATTTGTGAGCTGCTTGCTGACACGGAGCCAGCAGGGGGAGCTCTCGCCCAGTTCTTTGGAGGACACGCTGCAGACTTCTGGAGTCACAGCCCCTCTGGGGTGCCCTGCCAAAAAGCACGGGGACTGGTGTGACAGAGATCCCTGGGGACACCTGATCCTCACCTTCCTTCTAGCACAACCCTGAGGGGCTCTGGTCTGGCCAGCAGGCCACCCCGCTCTGCATTCCTCCTCACCAGCAGGGAATTGTGGGTGCTCACTGCCCCTTACAAGTTGGAAAAGATTTTATACCAATTTATACGCATACGAAGGTAGATCAAACGATGGGATCAAGCAGGCCTGCAGTGTCTCTCTCAACCCTTTCTTTCCCCTCTATAGACACCAGTTTTCCCTTTTTAGGCTGATGAAAGTCGCCAGCTGGGTCCCATGGGCTGCTTGGTACCTCCTACCCGAAGCGAGGAAAGTATCCTTTGTAACAGCTGTTCTAGCCGGGGAGCGGACGGCAAACACAGAGGAGAAGAAAAAAACAATACCCTGGACCAGCCCCCGGCTAATGACAAGTTCTAGAGGTTCTCTCTGCAGCAACGGGGGTTACAAGCCCAAGCATTGTAACAGGCTGGGGAGCGACTGGCTAAGGAGCAGTTCTGCAGAAAAGGACCCGGGGGTTACAGTGGAGGAGAAGCTGGATAGAAGTCAACAGGGTGCCCTTGCTGCCAAGAAGGTTAATGGCATATTAGGGTGCATTAGGAGGAGTATTACGTCCAGTTCAGGGCCCCCCACTACAGAAAGTGGACTCATTGGAGAGGGTCCAGCGGAGGGCGACCAAAATGGTTAAGGGGTGGAGCACACGACCTATGAGGAGAAGCTGAGGGATTTGGGCTTCAGTCTACAGAAAAGAAGAGTGAGGGGGGATTTGATAGCAGCCTTCAAATTCCTGAAGGGAGGTTCCAAACAGGACGGAGAGAGGCTGTTTTCAGTGGTGGCTGAACGAGGAGCAATGGTCTCAAGTTGCAGTGGGGGAGGTCTAGGTTGGATAGTAGGAAAAACTATTTCACTAGGAGCATGGTGAAGCACTGGGATGGGTTCCCTAGGGAAGTCGTGGAGTTTCCATCCCTAGAGGTTTTTAAGTCTCCTCTTGACAAAGCCCTGGCTGGGATGATTTAGTTGAGATTGGTCCTGCTTTGGGCAGAGGGCTGGACTCGATCACCTCCTGAGGTTTCTTCCAGCCCTAGGCATCTATGATCAGAAACAGTCCCTTGGGGCAGATGAAACATTAATACTAACAGCGAATAAACCATGACGGCCACAGGCAAATCTTCCTAGTTTCCTTCCCAGTCCCTAAATCTAATAAGCTACTTTCCCCATGGTGTAACTCCTTCTTCTTCCTGTCACACAGACTTATTCTTGTTTGAGCAATTGTTCTTGGAGCTCAGCCTTGTTAAGCTGACGACAGAAGCTTCTCCATTTACAGCTGGTGGAGGAGTCACCGTTGAAAGCAGCTCTCTCCCTCTTTCAGAAATGTCCAGTTTCTGGAATACTTTTCAGGAGAAAGATGAAGGAGGGTCTTGTGGTTCAAGGCACTTGACTCAGGAGGTGGTTAAAAACCTTCCAAAATGTTTCTAACTTTTTTTTGACTGAAACTTGGGTTTTTATTACACTTTTCATGAAAAGCGACTGTGTCCCTCAAAAATATTGCAATTTTCTATGTCAGAAAAACCAAACATTTTTCACTGTTTGGCAGCTTTTGCCCAAAGCCGTCAGTCCACAGCTGTTAAAAACAAAACACTTCAGCTAAAATCCAAAAAGTGTCCCAGTTCCAGCCCAAGAGTTTGGGGGTTTGAGGGTTTGGATAAAATTTCTACAAAAAGGAAATCCTCCAGTTTTGTCTTGTGAGGTCTTGTGTGCTGCTGCCCAAGTCATTTAATCTCTCAGAAGCTCAGGGCCTCATCTGAAAAGTGAGGATAATAATTCTTCCTTTCTCTTGTCTATTTAGATTGTAAATCCTTTTGTGTAGAGAGAGAAACAGAAAGGGAGAGTGTTTGTGTGCATCAGCTCAGTACTCAGAGGTTCTCTGCTCTCCTTGGAATTTATAAGACTCATACTGAAATAAGGACCCAACCACCAACAGACGTATCAGGTAGTAGCTTACCGAGTGTCTGCTGGTTGCGGACCCCTCCGATCACCACACAGATTTCGGCTGGCACATCTCCTGTCCCATCCTTTACGTTCTTCTTGGAATCTTTGGTGTCATCCTGCCAGATCACCTCTTGAATGTAGTCATCTGGTACCTCTGTTTTCACCTTCACTTCAGTCATTGTGCCGGGCTCTTCGCTCGGCGAGGACTGAGATGTCACAGAATCGGAGCCCTCTGCTTTCGGGCTCTTGGGGCTCCTTTTCAAGTGCTCCCTGGGTACAGGAAAGAGGAAAAAAATAAGAATTCTTATTTTCTAGCTCAATTTTGAGTTACTGACACCAAAGTAAAGGTACTTTTGTTTTTACGGTTCATTTAAGATTACTGTGTTTGTATGTGTCTTTGATAAATGATAAGTACTTAGAAAAGTCATAAAACTGTTTATTAGTAATGAAAACAACCTTAACTATCATAAATGAACTCACTCATGAAATGCAAATGTTTGCACCAAGCCATTAGTCCTTCCAAGTCCAGAACCTGCTCCCACACAGCTCAGAATCTGATGCATCAGAGGAAAGCAAATAGTCCAAGTGATATGTCCTTGAAGGAGAAAATTTGCTTCTCACCCTTTTGCTTTACAACCTGGAGAAACTTTCACAACGGTTCAGAAAATAAAATCTCTGAATCTGATGCACTGGGCTTCCTGTGTACCCCACATTTGACAACATTTTCATTGCACGCCCCCAAAGAATGCAGCTCCTTCCGCTGCATACCCTTCACTGCAATGCAAACCCCAACACGGCCACCCTTCAACATGGGCCTGCATCAGATTAAACATCACGTTCATGGCATGGAAGAGAGTAATCTAAACATTAACATAAAACAGGGATGATATTAAAGTGTGAAGAGCTGCAAATGCCAGAGAACAAGTGAAAAAAGAGAGAATCATAGAAATCTACAGTTGAAAGGGACCTTGAGAGGTCATCTAGACTAATTCCCTGCACTCAAGGCAGGACTAAGTATTATCTCAACCATTCTTGACAGATGTTTGTCTAACCTTTTCTTAAAAATCTCCCATGACAGTGATTCCACAACCCCCTTTAGGCAATTTGTTCCAATGTTTAACCACCCTGACAGGAAGTTTTTCCTAGTGTTCAACCTAAACCTCCCTTGCTGAAAATTTAAGCCCATTGCTTCTTGCCCTGTCTTGAGAGGAACACGTCTCCCTTCTCTTGTAACAACCTTTTATGTATTTGAAAAATGTTATGTCAGTTTTCTCTTTTCCAGACTAAACAAACCCCATTATTTCAATCTTCACTCATAGGTTATGTTTTCTAGACCTTTAATCATTTTTGTTGCTCTCTTCTGATCTTTCTCCTATTTATCCACATCATTTCTGAAATGTGGCTCCAGTTGAGGCCTTATCAGCGATGAATATAGCAGAAGAATTAATTCTTGCATCTTGCTTACACAACTCCTTCGGATATACCTTAGAATGTTGTTCACTCAGATTCAGAAAGCTTAGAAATAGGATAAGGAAACAGAATGAGATTCCACGTTGGAAAAACAAAGCTAATACTATGTTGGAGGAAAACAGTATTTTTAAAAGCACAGATACTTACCAGAAGGGAGAAACCTGGAAATCAAAAGTCTGACAGAGAGCTAAAGCTAATAATGGGCAGCAAATTCATTCTCCTCTGGTAATGTGATATGGCAGCAAAACAAAATGAAAACAATTTTGGTCTTCTTAGACAGAAGAATCATCAGAATGCAGCCCCTTTTAAAAATGACTCCCCATGATCACCAGCTCCCGTCTGCCCACCCAGCGGATCCAGTGCTTGGGGGGAAGGGGAAACCAGCTTTTAAGCCAGGGGAGGGATGCATGTCTCCTGACTAAGGAACAGACAGACAAACCGACACACAAATTGACAAGCTCTCTGAATTATATAGCAGCTATAGGTATCCCTTTCTCCACCTCTGTCCCATTGCTGGTCCAGTTGAGTTATGGCTGTCCTGGTCTCCATCTCTTGCCCCTTGCTGCCATTCTGCAGTATAACTGTCCCTCCTGCCAGACCCCTCCCCCTACGATTTTATGAGAAACAACTGAATTCCATGCATATCCCATTATCCTGACCTGCCAGCCAAATGTGGTGGTCTTAGTTCTGACTGTTTAGGAGTTCTTGAACAAATGGACTCACAGATGGACGGACAGACAGACACACATTTCTAAAATAGTAAGATGTGCTATTATAACTAGGAATAATGGATGAAATTAAATAAAAGAAAACTTAGGATGACCATCAGGTTAAGATCTGCTACTCCAGAGATCTGTTTAACCATTAAGTAGTGGAAGAGGAGGACGTCCCATTGCCTCGGCTATTGAAATGAAGACATCCCACACCACTAATAAACACACCGTCAAACTAGCACGATACTACTGAAAGGAGGCAACTAATCAGGATTATCAACCGCTATCATTGAAAGAAAAAATGCACAGGGGCAGTAGGGAGTTGATGGCAAGGAGAGGAGTAATTGAACAATGCGAACAATCTTTAGTAACAATTACTGCACAACCTCCTATACAGGTACGGAGTTGCTCATTCAATGGGTCAGTTCCAACAAGTCAGAAATTATACGCCCTCATTCCTTCATTTTCATTAAAAAATGAAATGTATAATTAATGGCCTCCAAACAGAAAGGAAAATCATTCCTAAATCGCCAATAGAGGCACACTTCCTCTTATCTAGCCACATTTTCTTGAAAATCATTCAGAGCTTTTATAATTGATAAAGATGAATTTACACAGAAACATGTCAATAAAAATAAGGAGTTCTTTAAGAGGAATTTATTAGATGGCCAAAAAGTCCTGACAACTTTGGCTAAACGGTTTTCTATGGCAAAATGAAGGCAGTAAACAGAAATAAAAAAGTAACATATAACAAATGGAAAAGGGGAAAATAGGTCACAACTAATCTAAATTAAAAGTTATAAAATACAGAAAATTGATAAGGAAAGCTAAGGACATAACGGGAAAAAAATCTATGTCTGGAAGAGCTAACGATAACAGGAAGGCATCTTTGATTTTTTTTGTTTGAATATTTAAAATATATTAGGCATAAAAAGCATCCTATTGAGGGCATAGGTCCATTTCTAGATTGAGATGGGAAAATTGTTAATGATATGAAAAACACAGAAGTATTCAATAAATATTTCTGTTGTGTGTTTGGGAAGAAGCAAGGTGATGTACTTATATCACAGGAGGATAATGAAGTACTCTACAGTCCATTAGTAACCAAGGAGAGTGTTAATTATCAGCTACCATGGACAAACCTGGATAACAGGCACCCAGGAGTCCTAAAAGAATTGGTAAAGAAATCTCTGGCCTGCTGATGGTCATGTTTCACCACCAGGGTGTGATGGGATATACCATACCTTCTGAGACTCTCTACTGGAGATAGGGTTGCCAGATTGTTTAGTCAAAACTACCATCACATCCCCCCTCCCCCCCCCGCCCCCAAAAAAACAGGGAAAAAATTCCGTTGAGAAAAAAAAAGGGGGAGACCAAAGTTAAGCGAAAAATAAATAAAAAAAAGGACCTGAGGAAAAAAAAGGGGGAGACCAAACTTGTTAAGTGAAAAATAAATAAAAAAAAGGACCCTGAGAGTTAAGCTAAGAAATAAAATAATAACAATAAAAAAAACCCAGCATGGCCCCTTTAAGAAATGCTTTTTGGCCCTAACAGGCTGCCCTCTATTCTGTCTTCCTGCTCCCGGCCAGACAGCTCCCCTGCGGAACCCAGTAAGCACCAGGGATTTTCACCTCCTGACCGGGAAAAAAAATCCGAAAATACCAGACATTTTGGGTGTCCGGTATTTTCTGAATTTTTTTTTTACCGGACAGGAGGCGAAAATACCGGATGGTCCAGGTCAATACCGGACACCTGGCAACTCCTAGCTGGAAATCTCATTACCCCGTCACACCTCACCCCGAAAAAAAAGGCTGTGAAGAAGGCCCTTTGAGCTGCCTAGAGCAGCTGTGTGGGGCAGAGCCAATCATCAGTTCCTTGCTGTGGCTGCAGCACTGTAGATGGTGTGTGGCTGGCTGACCGGAGCTGCCAGGAGCCACCCTGAGCTGGCTGTGGGAACTCCATTAGGACAAAGCCCTGAGGTAAGGCTGAAGACAGTGCAAGGCCGCAGGGAAATAGAGAAGCAATTAAAGGACCTAGGCAAGGCCCTGTAAGCAGGGACAAACAGAGAGAGGGCGCAGACATCCGGTCACGGGGGTGCTCGCAAGAGGTGAGGACATCCTGTTACACAGGGACATTCCGGAAGACGGAAGGGTGCTAATGTTGTGCCGATGTGCAAAAAGGGATGATCTATAGATTGGTTATCTGACATCAGTCCCAGGCAAAATAAGGGAAACGCTGATATGGGATTCAATTAATAAAAGAATTAACAGAGAAATATAATTAATGCTAAGAGGTTTTATGGAAAACAGATATTGTCAAACAAATCTGATTTCATTCTTTGATGAGACTGCAAGTTTGGCTGACAAAGGTAACTGCAGATGTAATATACTTGGACTTCTGTAAGACAGATGATTTAGTACCATAATACGTTAAATAATATGATAAAATAAGCACCAGAGAATATTGACAGAGCGCGAGTTAAATGGATTAAGGACTTGATGACCTCGCAAGTCCCAAAAAGCACAGGCCTATGCAAATGATCATGGAATGGGACGTTTCTAGTGGGGTTTCGCCGGGATTGACTCTAGGGCGGAAGCTATTTGAGTTTTCTTCAGTGAGCTTGAAGTAAGTATAAAAGCACTGCTGAACAAATAAAAGATGACTGGAGTGCTAAGTCATATAACAATCTGGCTCACTTGGTAAACGAGGCCCATTTAAAGGTGCGTCTTACAACAGCTAAATGAAAAGTCATACTTCTAGGAGCAAGGGTACAAGCCACAACTATGCAAGGTGGAGAAAGGCAGAACAAGAATCTATGGCTGGAAGCTGAAACCAGACAAATTAAAATTAATTCAAATTAGACACAAAGGTTTAATAATGAAGGCAAGTTTCTCCCTTCTTTCTTTTGGTTACTGGGGGCCAAATCCGTGGGGTTTTTTTTTACTTGTGTGTAGCCCCTGACTGATGAGTCAGTGCCCATGACACAAACAGGCACCAACACATACTTATTTAAAGCATCAGTTCTGAAACTAACAAAGGGCTCCATTTTAACAGAAAGGCAGGTCTCCCATCTATTTAATAAACAGC